GGGACCCACACTTAGGGGTCTAGGACCCACATATGGGGCACTGACACATTTATGGGGTGAAACCCCCATCTATGGGGCTGGGACCCCCATCTATGGGCCTGAGACTCACACTTTGGAGTCCGGGACCCACATCTATGGGGCTGGGACCCACATATGGGGGGGTGAGACCCAGACTTATGGGGCTGGGACCCACATCTATGGGGCAGGCCCCACCTGGTAGTAGCGGGGGACGTCGGTCCAGTCGCGGGGGAGGCGGACGATGCCCCCCAAGTAGCGTCGGACGTGGGGCCGGCAGTGGGGCAGGGCGGCCGCCAGCGCCCCCAGGAAACACCCCACGGCGCGAAGGCCCAGGGCCCGGCGGGCGAAGAGAGCAACCTGTGGGGCAGGGACCCACACTTGGGGGGCAGGACCCCGATCTATGGGGCAGGGATCCATATATAGGGGGTGGGGACCCATATATGGGGGGTAGGACCCACATCTATGGGGCTGGGAGGCACTTATGGGGGACTGGGACTCAGATCTATGGGGCAGGGACCCACATCTATGGGGCTGGGACCCACAGCTGTGGGGCTGGGAGCCACTTATGGGGCTGGGACCCACATCTGGGGGGTAGGATCCAGATCTATGGGGCTGGGACCCAGATCTATGGGGCTGGGGGACACATCTATGGGGCTGGGACCCACATATGGGGGGCTGGGACCCACATCTATGGGGCTGGGAGCCAAATCTATGGGGCTGGGACCCACATCTATGGGGCAGGACCCACATCTATGGGGCTGGGAGCCGGATATAAGGGGCTGGGACCCACATCTATGGGGCTGGGACCCACATATGGGGGCTGTGACCCAGATATAATGAGCCGAGACCCACATCTATGGGGCAGGAAGAGGGACCCGGGGTGTCCAGGACCCACATCCTGCCCCATAACCCCCCCTAAATCCACATCTATGGGGCTGGCCCCACATCTATGGGGCCGGGACCCACATCTATGGGGCAGAAACGTGTCTATTTCATCCTAAACCCCACATTTAAGAGGCTGAGACCCACATATGGGGGTCCAGACCCACATATAGGGGTCGGGACCCACATCTATGGGGCCAGACCCACATCTATGGGGCAGAAACCCTTCTATACGCTCCTAAAACCCACATTTAGGAGGCTGGGACCCACATCTATGGGGCTGGGAGGCACCTATAGGGCTCAGGACCCACATCTATGGGGCCGGCCCCACATCTATGGGGCTGGGACCCACATATGGGGGGCTGGGACCCACATCTATGGGGCAGAAACGTGTCTATTTCACCCTAAAACCCACATTTAGGAGGCTGGGACCCACATCTATGGGGCTGGGAGGCACTTATAGGGGTCTGGACCCCCATCTATGGGGCTGGGACCCACATCTATGGGGCTGGGACCCAAATCTATGGGGCTGGGACCCCCATCTATGGGGCCAGACCCACATCTATGGGGCAGAAACCCTTCTATACGCTCCTAAAACCCACATTTAGGAGGCTGGGACCCACATCTATGGGGCTGGGAGGCACTTATAGGGGTCTGGACCCCCATCTATGGGGCTGGGACCCACATCTATGGGGCTGGGACCCAAATCTATGGGGCTGGGACCCCCATCTATGGGGCCAGACCCACATCTATGGGGCAGAAACCCTTCTATACGCTCCTAAAACCCACATTTAGGAGGCTGGGACCCACATCTATGGGGCTGGGAGGCACCTATAGGGGGCGGGCCCCCCATCTATGGGGCCAGCCCCACATCTATGGGGCAGGGGGCACTGACCTGGAGCAGGAACTCGGGGGCCAGTGGGGCCAGGCGGGTCCCCAGCCCCACAACTCGCTGGCGCAGTGGGTCGCGGCTGCTCCCGAAATTGGCCCCGGGCACCAGGGAGGAACAGACGACGGCCACCAGCTCCAGCTATGGGGCAGGACCCACATATGTGGGGCTGGACCCACAGATCTATGGGGCAGGGGAGTCCCGGGGCATCCAGGACCCACATCCTGCCCCATAAGTCCCCAAAAACCCCTCTAAAAGGGGTGAAAAAGACCCAAATCTATGGGGTAAGACCCAAATCTATGGGGCTGGACCCACATCTATGGGGCAGGACCCACATATGTGGGGCTGGACCCACAGATCTATGGGGCAGGGGAGTCCCGGGGCGTCCAGGACCCACATCCTGCCCCATAAGTCCCCAAAAACCCCTCTAAAAGGGGTGAAAAAGACCCAAATCTGTGGGGTAAGCCCCAAATCTATGGGGCTGGACCCACATCTATGGGGCTGGACCCACAGATCTATGGGGCAGGGGAGGGACCCAGGGGGTCCAGGACCCACATCCTGCCCCATAATCCCCCAAAACCCCCCTAAAAGGGCTGAAAAAGGCCAATATCTATGGGGCAGGACCCGAATCTATGGGGCTGGACCCACATCTATGGGGCAGGACCCACAGATCTATGGGGCAGGGGAGTCCCAGGGGGTTCAGGACCCACATCCTGCCCCATAAGTCCCCAAAATCCCCCTAAAAGGGGTGAAAAAGACCAAAATCTATGGGGCTGGACCCACATCTATGGGGCAGGACCCACAGATCTATGGGGCAGGGGAGTCCCAGGGGGTCCAGGACCCACATCCTGCCCCATAAGTCCCCAAAATCCCCTCAAATTCCTCCAAAAAGGAGAGAAAAGACCCAAATCTATGGGGCTGGACCCACATCTATGGGGCTGGACCCACAGATCTATGGGGCTGGACCCACAGATCTATGGGGCAGGGGAGTCCCGGGGCATCCAGGACCCACATCCTGCCCCATAAGTCCCCAAATCCCCCCCAAAACGGGTGAAAAAGACCAATATCTATGGGGCTGGACCCAAATCTATGGGGCAGGACCCACATCTATGGGGCTGGACCCACAGATCTATGGGGCAGGGGAGGGACCAGGGGGTCCGGGACCCACATCCTGCCCCATAAGTCCCCAAAACCCCCCCAAAACGGGTGAAAAAGACCAATATCTATGGGGTAAGACCCAAATCTATGGGGCTGGACCCACATATGTGGGGCTGGACCCACATCTATGGGGCAGGGGAGGGATCTAGGGGGTCCAGGACCCACATCCTGCCCCATAATCCCCCAAAACCCCCCTAAAAGGGCTGAAAAAGGCCAATATCTATGGGGCAGGACCCGAATCTATGGGGCTGGACCCACATCTATGG